ATTATTATTATTATTATTATTATTATTATTATAAATCCTTTCGTTCAATTTTGCTTCTGGACAGAAATTTAGGGTATTTTTTTTAAAAAAATTGACATTTACTGTAGAGCCCCCATCAAAGTGAAAAATCATGAATAAAGAAATTGCTACTGTACTTTCCCCCTGGGTCCCCCGGTGGTGCAGTGGGTTAAACCACTAAGCTGCTGAAATTGCTGACCGAAAGGTTGGTGGTTCAAATCCAGGGAGCGAGGTGAGCTACCACTGTTAGCCCCAGCTTTTGCCAACCTAGCAGATGTGAGTAGATCAATAGGTACCCCTTCTGCGGGAAAGTAACAGTGCTCCATGCAGTCATGCCAGCCACATTACCTTGGAGGTGTCTGTGGACAATGACAGCTCTTCAGCTTACAAATGGAGATGAGCATCACCCCCCAGAGTTGGACACGAATAGACTTGATGTCAGGGGAAAACCTTTACTTTACCTTTATAGCTTGTAATATTAAAGCAACATTGAGAAAGGTTTGGGATGAAAGTGGCCTCCATTTTCTGGATACATGCCCTCTCTCATTAAAATCATAGAATCCTAGTGTTGGAAGAGACCTTGTGGGCCATCCAGTCCAACCTCATTCTGTCAAGAAACAGGAAAATCGCCTTCAAAGCATCCCCGACTGATGGCCATCCAGCCTCTGTTTAAAGCCTCCAAAGAAGGAGCCTCCACCACATTCCTTAACTCTTCTCTATGTGGGGGCTTTCTTTCCCCTCTTCATTGTCACTAGCTGACCGCTGTTCTTACCGCTGGTCTGAGTCCCTCTACAGAAGTTGAGAAGATCAGGATATAAAAGTTTTAAATAAATAAATAAATAAATAAATAAATAATTTTTAAAAGGTGTATGCCACAGTACATGCTAATATATGGTAGATGAGGCTTCTAGAACCATAACAAATGCAAAGAAATCATGGTTCATAACTCATTCTTGATTCGCCCCCATAAAAAAATCAAATTGTCTCCTATGGGACATGTCCTCCATTCTGGAAACCGGAGCTATATGGTAAATTTCAGGAGGAAGGTGACCTGGAGGATCTAGCAAATTCCTAGAGAGAGCATTTTTTTTCACTTGGAATGGTCAATGAAACTGTGGATATGTGCTCCATTGTTGTGGAGTTGTACTGTACTAGTTGTCTAGTTCATAGTACAAGAGCCATGGGTTCTCATTTAAGGAAGTGAAATATGGGACATATCTGAAGCACAACAGTCTTCCTTTCTTTTCTATTTCTGATTCGGTCTTCTTTGTAGGTGAAGGAATGGCAGCGGAAGCGCATTCGAAAGAAGTGCCATTGTTTGACAGAATGGAAGGCCTATGGAGCGCTATGGAGTCAGACCAGGTGAGGGACAGATCATCATCTATATCATTACTAGCCATCCCCTGCCACACGTTGCTGTGGCCCAATCTGTGTATATGTGTTTTGTGTGTATATATATATGTGTGGGTATTTGTGTATATGTGTGCGTATATATACGTGGTTTTGTGCATGCATTGTAATACTTTTATGTTTTTTGGCTTTTTAGGTCTCTTCTGCTGTGTTTTTCAGAGTTTTTATGAGTAATGGTCACTCATTGGCCTGATAGGTGTCTTGTGGCCAAATTTGGTGTCAATTCTCCCAGTGCTTTTTGAGTTATGTTAATCCCATAAACAAACATTACATTTTTATTTATATTGACTAGCTGTACCCGCCACATGTTGCTGTGGCCAACCTTCCCTCTCTCTTTCTCTCCTTCTTTCCCTCCTTCCTTCACTCCCTCTTTCCTTCCTTCCTTCCTTCCTTCCTTCCTTCC